AGGTGAAGTTATTTTTAATATCCGTAGTGAAGCATTTGCATTAGTAGATGGCGTGCACTTAATAGCTAGCATATTCTTCCATCGTACAGTGGAGCTAGTAAAGTATTCTGCCAACAGCAGAAACAAGAATGCTGTGTTAAAAAGAGGGGAAGAGCAGTAGTAATTCTCACCTCTTTTCATTATTTTGTATTACTACATATAAGATAGTGTCCAATTTTGCTGTAAATGGATTAAGGAAATTGTCTTAGTTTAGGAGCTGTTCTCAGATGGTAGGAACTCAGGGAGTGCATTCAGTCTATTGTCAGTATTTTTATATGAGTGCTTTATCTTTCAAAGACTTCCATAAAAATAATCATTAATACATGTTGTTCGGCTAAGGCAAGCCTAGAGGAAACATAATTAATAATCCTAATAATAAGTCTTGATCATTTTCTAAAAAATCAACCAGAAAACAACTGTGAAAAAAAAGATAGGCTACAAAATTCATTAAGTCTTTAATATTGGTTATTATTGTATTAGCCCTGCAATGGGTAGACAAGTTTGTACCATTCAGTATAATAGAAGTTTAGTAGTAGATTAACATGTTGGTGAAAGCCAACAGAAGCCTTGCATACATCCTAAGACAGATTTTTGTTCTCCTTCAAAAGGCATAAATATAATGTGGAAAACTGATCTTCCAAGATGAATAGTCACTGAAACATCTCTTGTAATAACAGCTAATAATAGGTTAGTAACTTGGTCTCCAGACTCATCTATTATAAGTTAAGAACTAGTTCACTTAACTTGTTTTACTGGCTTTTGGGAATTCATTGTGAACTACTCACTTTTAAGATGGTAACTGGATATTTTTTCAGCATGTATATGCATGGACAACAAAACTGGGGGGAAAAAAGACCTGTTGTATTTGCCTTCCTGGACTCTGTTTTGCAAATGCTCAGAATTTGCCCATATAGTCACCAAGAAAAAACAGATAGGTGCATGGTGCAGTTTGCAATATTTTCCATTCTTCAAAGATTTCATCACAGGTAGGATTCTTTTTGCAAGTCACCAGAGACACAGTGTGGTGATTGATTGGCACAGAGTATAATTAAGATATCACTATAGTGAGACATCTTGTCAATGCAGTCATTGAAGCAAAACTTTTTATCTTTCGAAAACGTAGAAGTTTAGTTTGCTGGTATGTTGCTTTTATAGTCAGTGAATGCTGATGGGAGAACAGACGATGTGTTCATCTGACAGTTCAAAATAACCTATCGCCTTTCCAGTACAGTACCTCAGCTCATGGTGCAGGTAGTTTTCATAAAGGTAGATCTGGTACTATTGCTGTTCACATTAGGAACATTTTAAAACTCAAAGTGTACTCTTACTATGCAGCTCAATACTGACATCAGTGGGGTTCGCCTGTGCTTTGGTGGTGGGATATAGGAGTAGTTCTGTTACACTAACTTATTTAAAGATTTTCAATATTCTAATAATTTTAAGTTTTTCATCACTGTAGCTTGTAAGAGTCTACCAAGTTTGACAAGAAATGTTTGCAGTTTCAGCTGGTTTGGTTCTGAGTATACATGCACAGGCACACAAAGGAAATTGGGGAATGGATCTGATATAAAATCAGAACTGTTCCACTGAGGATAGTTACAGATCTAGTACCTTGATTTTAATATTTTTCAGCATTACACTACAAATCCTGATATACAAGCCATCTTTCATCCCCTCCTCTTTTCTGGAGAGAGCAAATTGCTGATTCTGACAGGCTAGCACTGAAAGGAGAAATCAGAAAATCCGTTTGATGCACTTTTTGGAAGGAGATCATTGCAGGTGCGGGACATAAGACATACCCATTACAATTGTTACTGGTTTTCACAGTAGTAATATCTAAGCCTACAATTTACCAACTAGCTCTTTCTGTCTGTTAGCTGTGCTTGATCTAGCTAATGGACATAAATCTCATCCTAGGTATGTCTTCTTGGCAATATGGTCCAAAGGCTGGCAAGTTTGCTGAGAACCTCCTTTATTTGTCTCTGGAGCACTGTGAGGAATTTTTGCTCAGCAGCTCAAATGCAGTATTGCTCACATGAGACCCAGTGACTGATTGCATTGCATTAACTCTTTTTGTTTGTCTCGCTTCTCTGAACATCCCCCCAGAAGTAGCTCTGGGTCATGGGACTTCCCTCATAAGTCCCTTAGTTACTTCAGTGAACAAAAATTGGAAGAAATGCATCCATGGTGATTCTGACCCAAAAGAGTATTCTGAATCTAAAAACTGTAAGCGGAGATGAACTACTGCTTTGCCAGTATAAGCGATGTGAGGTTTTTAGGGAGAAATGATGTCGCCTATTTAGCCAACTGATACAGTTGGAAGAAGTAGAGGGTTTTGATTTTTGTGCCTGAAGGTTTCTCAGTTTTTCCAGCTGTATCAGCTAGCCTAATCAAAGATACTACCTCTCCCTACAGTAGTCTCCCTTATATTCGTAAACTCTTATGGCTACAACAATAACATCGCCAACATAGACTGGACTGGCCTGTGTATCAGTTACTAGTGTGTTAAAAACTAGTTTGGAAAAACATTATTGAGCAAATTTGGAAATAATTACTGTTACGTCCACCATCCCTGGAGGTATTTAAAAGATGTGTAGGCGTGGCATTTAGGGACATGGTTTAGTGGTGGACTTGATAGTGTTAGGTTAACGGTTGGACTCGATGATCTTAAGGGTCTTTTCCAACCTAAATGATTCTACGATTCTATGAAATATGCATAGGTAATGTTTAGTAGTTCTGTTGCACAAAAACATCTTTGTACTTTATGTTCCAAGAAAACAATAATCTAGAAAAAAAGGAACCTATCTAACAGAATGAGATTATTTAACTGGTAGGTTTAAAAAGAGCTAGCAATTGCTGCAGTGTAGACTGGGAAAAAGAAGAGGTTCTCCTCTATTGTACGATGTGGAGCACATACTTTACCACGAGTGGAGTCCAAAAAGGAGAGTAAGACATTGGAGTTCACTGTTGGTAAATGCACCGCTGGGGTCTAAAGATGTTTTTAAGAAAAGTGCATGATTGTTTATTTTCTCATTGTGCGTCAAAGCACGTAATGAAACCCACATTCTCTTATTCTGATGCTTTTAAGATATTAGGGTCTGGTCTGTAAATTGCTTGTGTCTGGTGTCATCATGGGGTCCTGTGGATGATACAAGCAGTTTCTCTGGTCAGCCAGAGCACTGGTTAATGCTGGTTTTGTAGAATGCCCTATATATGTGTCTATCTGAAGATGAATCACTCCCATCTTCCACCAAGGCTGGCTTTTTAAATCTAAAATGTGATTTGGTACGTTTACAAAAACCCATTAAGATATGTGTTGAAAATCTCGTGATCAAAATGATATTGTTAAAATACTGGGTTTATCTTAATATTCAGTAGTATATATTTCACTACCTGGATGAGTTTTCCTTTTGCCAAATAAATCCATGTTTTTGTTCCTTTGCCAGAATAAATCCTTTGAGCCTTTATCAATGTGAAAGGGTAATAACCTGCTAAATGGTATGAAAGAATTAGGTGATAAAGTATTACAGTAAAGAATGAATTTAATAAGTACACAGTTCTCAAATTATACCTTGATTTTGAAGTGAATGCAGAGACCTTACCCAACAGTGATTTGATAATTGTTGTAAAGTATTAACACATTTCCTTTATTTCAAAATCTCTACATGAAGTATGTTTTTAAATTATACATTTTAAAATTCAGCAAAAGATCAAACATCAAAATTAACTATGCTGACTAAAAGCATATATTCTGTAATGTGAAACAGACTGTGAGTAATAAGAACTAGATGGAATAGGAATAGGACGTCTACCCACCGAAGTACAGATAACTTATTTACCTTGTAAGCTCTCAACAGCTGGAAGAAATAAAGTTATCTAAATACTACCCAAAGTAGCTGGAAACTATAAGCGCCGCTACAAATATATATACGTATGTTTAAATAGTGGGGCGTTTTAAATTATCACATAACGTTTGCATAAAATGTGCAAGTCTTTGATATTTTTATTTTAACAGTCTACAGGAATTTTGATATAGTTGTGTAAGTCATATCTTCCACACAGAATTTTATTATGCAGTCTGTTTACAGTTTTTATACTTAATGCAAAGCAATTATAATGATACTGTGGGGCATGGGGAATACAATGGAAAACAATGAAAAAGCATGTTAAGAATAAAAAGATATTACATGAAATTTAGTCTAAAACATAGCTTGAATGAGCTCTGACAGAGCTGATATGGCTGGTTGTTTCCTGTGCCAGGAACTACCGTGGAACCCCACCAGGAAGTGTGCTACAGAGCAGGATCACATTACACCCTTGTTTTATGGTTCATTTCACTTACTTAATGCAATTTGAGAACCTGCAAAAAAAGAGCACTCTAAAAAGGGATGTTTATTGTTTGAAAATATGTCATTTCTTTGACTCAAGTAAGTTGGGTTTTGGGGACACCTGATGTGCCTAATGTAAGGCGAGGCAAATCAGTACGACCATGCAGCAGGTTGTACAGCAAGAGCAAAATGTTTCCATATTCATGAAATGTAAAGAATGATGCAGATATAGTTTATATCTGTACACTTTTGCCTGTCTACTTTAGTAAACCAATTGTGCTACGCTGCTACAACAACAACAATCGTAGTAGTTTTCCTTTACTACTCCAAGTAAATTTTAATACAGTACAGCGATTTATTAAAATTATGTAGACTAAAAGGGTTGTTTAGTGTTCCAGCTGATTTATAGAGTGTGATAAAACATTCCAAAATCTTTGGAAACAAGAAACATGCTACAGCCTGTATTTGGTTTGACAAAGCTGTGTTCATATGAAGGAAGAATGTTTAACATGCTAACTAGATAATGATTCATCAATTCTGGCAGAGGAACTAATTTTTGTTAATGTAGTACTTAAAAATGTGTGGAATGAACAGCTGGATACCACAGTTGTGGCATGCCATATTAAGTCTCTGTCTGTTTTCCCCTACAGTGATCTCAGTATGAACAACATTACTAAGCTGCCCTCAAACCCTGTGCACAATCTCCGCTTCCTGGAAGAGCTGTAAGTATCATTGTATCCTTGATGGGCATAGTCAGCACTAGACACATTCCTGTGTTTGTCTCTCATACTTACTGTGGGAACCAGATAAAACAGTGCAGGAAAGCTGTCAGCCTGACACTTTTGGCACATGCGGAAACACTTAGTTGAAAAAAAACCAATTGCTTGTGATTCTGGAAATGAACTTATAAAAGAGTTACCGTGAGGCTACAACTTCTCTAAGCAGAGACAGAGCCAAACAAATTAAAATTTTTAAACAAGGACTGTTTAAAAGAGCTGGATTGCTTTTTGGAAATAGTTAAGCAGCAGGATATTAAAAGTTTGAATACTGGCTCATGTTTATTAAAATCGCAAGTAAGGCTATAATCAAAACCAAAACCTGCTGCCTCGTTCTGCCTGTGTCAAGGACAATTGAGTCCACATTTCATGGTATCAAGGCTTCTTGTCCTAATCACTTTTAATTACTGTTTCCTTACTCTTAAATTTAGCATCCCTGAAGGCTGACTGTAAAATGCAGAATCCTGCAAAAAGCTTAGTTACGCTACCTAGTATGTTCACTGAGAGGAAAAAGTACACTGTGAAAACTAGCTAATCAAGCACAACATCAAAAGAGGAATGCTGGTTTGAAGTGCTGGTGACTAACCAAAAGTGAAAAGTATTGTGCATTCACGAGACCTGGATTTGGCAGTGACCCTAGTTATAATGGCCCAGGCTTAAAAGACATTTTCGGCTCCTGAGGAGTGATGAAGACTCTGTAACTGATGCACCATAGATCTTGTGGGAAAAAGCTGGCACCTGCATTTGCATGAGTGCTTCTAAAAGTTGATTAAAAGAATTGTCTAGGCATCCAGCCTCTTATGAAACGTGGTTTATAAGCTTTTAAAAGTGAAAGCCTCCTTTTTTTATAGTAAGTTTAGCTGCTAACACACCATAAAACTCACGTAAGATATGCAAAGTCATGGTGCTGCCCTTCTTGCAAAGACACGGTCTATTTAAGCTATGAAATGTGTACAGTCCTCTGCAATTTAGGTGGGTATGGCACTGACAACTTTTGGTGTCCATGCTAATGCTCATTTGAATTTTGCCACCTGGTCTTTCCAGCTGGCATCTATGAAAAAAAAAAGAAAACAATTTTGGTAACGCTAACCTTGAACAATACCCTATTGCAAGCAGGTTTTCCTTTCCTGTCTTATTTTTATAACTGGCAGCATTTGTATTTAGAAAGCATTATTTCTTTTAATTCTCTCTCTTCCTTTACTTACTTCTTTTATTTGGTTATCATTATCTGTATTGCTGTTGGTGCTTTCAAATGACATATAGATATGCACATAACAAGGAGAGATGTCACACATCAAGTGTTAACAGTATCAAGTGTGTATGAAGTGAATCATGCCTGCTTACGGATTCTTGCATCATGTTCATGTTTGCTTGTCCAATCTCCTGTCAACTGTAATAACCCTACTAAAAGCTTCCAACCCAACGATTTCTCTCCATCCATTAAAGAAAAGAAGAAAAACAAAAGTTTGGGCTTTTCCGGGAAGGAAATTCTAATACCTCAAGCCAAGTTACCTTCATTCTTTCATTTTACGGTCCAAAGTTACCTGGCCCAAAGAGTGAGACTTATTTCGCTGTTTGAGAAACTGTAGCAGTCTACTTCATCTTCCTGATCAAGATCTTTGAAAGTGTTCCTACCTTATTCTTGTGTGGGGCCTACTTTTTCCACTGGAAATATTAAACTGTTATCCTTCTAACCCTCTGTTCCAAATTAAGTAATTCCAGTCCTTCATTGCTTTACCATGTTTTGTTTTACATATACGCAGTCAGCTCCTCCATTTGTTTCACACAAACCAATCATTTCCATTTCTCATTAATTGTGGTGCTGTTTTGTGAAACCCTTCCAGTTTGTGTTAACTTTTCAAATATGCATAGAAAACTGAAGCCTTTGAAGAGGTGAGGCAACTGATTACCTCTTCTTAATGCAGATTCAAACCCATTGTGCTGAGAGATTCTTCCGTGTTCAGAGGCATGTAATACAATTCAGTGTAGTATTACATAGAAGAAGATATAGACAATGGAAAGGGAACTGGATATTCAATTTTGAAGAAGGGTGTAACAGCCATTGTAGTTCCCATGCTCCCCTGTGTTCATTTCTGAGTAGTGATTGTAGTGATATGAAAATTATTTTGCCCATCTGGTCACTGCAACATGATTTTATTCCCAGCTTACCTGGGAATTCTGTGTTTTGTTTATGTGGGTCAGTTAAAGGGGACTGTTGCAAAATATAACTTGGCCCATAATGCAGACATTGTGAAAATAAGATTTTACGAGATCTTTACACCAAAGCAATGTTTCCATGAAATTAAAATGCATCGTAGAAATGTCTATCTGCTCTTTGAAATACAACAACAACAGGAGCTTAAAATGCATTTTTTAGGGGTTTTTGGTGTTGAAAAAAGTGTTACTAATCCCTTTATTAGAGGTCTCGTTCAAAAATCTGATAAAAGCTAACAATTGATCCATTGAGTTTTAGCTGAGATGTTATGTTCTAGATGTGTGGTTTGGCAATACTGATAAGTCATTACCCCAAAAGAACTGAGATTTTATTAAGACAGTTAAACCAAATGTTTTGACTCCAAAGCAAGGATGTATAAGCCAGGTTTGTTCAGCCAGTTCTGACTTTCTAGGCTGAATCTGATCCACTCTTCCAGTCAAGGTTAGACACCTCTGCAAGCAGCATTCTTTCAATCCTGATGATCATGCCTGGTGTTTATCCTTAACCAAAGGCTGTGATCACTGAAGTACAATATATTGAAACTATGCTGTATTTTTGGGGCCCATGTTCCTCTAAAAATTTTGGAAAACATTGTGTACTTTGAAAATTGAACTGGTTTAGCTCCTGAAAAGGTTAGTTTTGAGCAAGATCTTTTATTTGTGGAAATGATGGGCCTTTCAGGCCTAATTTTCTCTTAAAGTGCGTATGATGGAACTCCCACCAAGAAAGAAATATGCTTCGGCTGCTTTATTATCAGCAAGTTGCTCTGCATGAACTTGTACAACACCATTAAGTCAAATGCTTCATTATAAATTCAAAATAACTGCAGATATTTATCAGTATGACTAAGTCCAAGACTCAATCTCATGTGGAGTATTTCTAGACGTATGTCATTCTACAATATGTGTAGAATGACCATATTACTAGAGCAGTGAGTTAGAGTAAAGCATGAAAAAAATTTTTTTAAAAAGTGTAAAGAATTACCTAAGGTGGGACTCTTAAGAGTTTAAGAGGCAACTACATCTGAGTGTAGACATATCATTTTGTGATTAGTAACACTTCAAAGCAGTGCCTGAAACTGTTTTATTTTATAAATTAATGTCTCTATGAAGAGTGAGGAAGAAAGCCAATAATAATTTAAAACTATTTGAATCAGACCTAACTACAAATATCTCCAACTAGATATATCTCCACACATACATACATATGCATATGCATAAATATATGCACACACCCACACATGCACATACATAAGGCTTTTATTTTAATTTTAAACACAGGACTATTTCACAGATAAGCAAAACTCCAAGTGATTTTTAGTACATTGCTAGTTTTCAGCAACTTAAAATAGGTGTTTTAGTAAAACAACAAAAGACTGTTTTATTACAATTATTGTACTTACAGAGTAAGACAGTTCCAAATAACTTCCATTTCACAAAATCAAGCAACAAAGCCATCTTAAATTAATTGCAACCTACATACAGATGCAAGAAAGTTTACTGTCACCTGTGTTATTTCTTAAAATAACCTTGAAGGGAATTAAATATATGTACAAAGTTTTTCAGATTGATCACGGTATTATTACAGTGCTTACTCAGGCAGAAGTGCCTTTAAAAGTGCATTTTACTACAATACTGAAGTGCAGAATTACAGAAGCAATATAAAACAGACATATTATGTGAATCTCACCATGATTTATGTGGAAATCCCTTTACACTGCAGAAGTGGTCAAGAGGCCACTATATACGTGAAAATGAAGCCCTAAATTACTGGGCACAATCCATTACCATCTGTTCTTATTTATTGTTTTCCCTTTACTTCTCTCTCTGTTTGCTCTTTCTTCCTACAAAGAGAATTTCAAAGCTGTTAATGGGAATTAGGTGTTCTTTTCCCCGCTGACTTTGAGCCGTGGGACTGAGCTCTCTGGTCATTTACATTTTTGAAAACTGAGAGCATTAGCTCCTGGAGTGTTGTACAGTCTTTATTTTTGTGCTCATGCAGGCTCATTGCGGCTAGCACTGAAAACTGATTCTCTACTTTTTACTATTCTGTAAGCTAGTAGAAAACATGAAAGTCCTGCAGCCATAGTCCAAAACTTTTTGGAGAAAGTGGGGGAATTTACTTTTTCAATCTTTGGGCAGGATGCTTAAATACTAAAATCTTTCCCAAAGATTAATCTGCATAGATTTAAAAACCTCCAAGGCAAAAAAGTAAAAATACCTGCAACTGACATGCACAACAAAAGTAAAAATAGAGTATCATCTAGTGGTCCCAAACTGTCCACACATGCTTCCTTCCGATGTCATTTAAATACCAGTTTTACAGTTCTTGCACAGCAGGTTTTAGTGGAGCTGTTCCTGGTGGAAGCTGGCTTGTGCCACCTCCATCAGCTAAAGTTTCACGAATTTTCACAGCTAAATGACTTCGATCCCATAGGTGATTTCAGAGCTGCGCACAATCTAACACGTAAGTTGTGAATTCAGTTTCTTCACATAAATTGTGAATTTGGTTTCTTCACTTCATACATGCATACATGTAGAGACGATCCGTTCAGACTATGCCACTGTGTTCGATAGCTGGTGTTTGTCAGTGAGAGGTATCCGTCACCAGCCAGGCAAGTGGCCCATGGCACATTGTAAATTCTGTTGCTGTAAGACAGACTTTGTTGTTAACTTGGGGCTGTGGCTCCCCAACTTTCCTTTAATACAGCCAGGGAGGCACTCAAAGTCCT